CTCGATAGATGAACATCACGAAATGACCTCTAACTTTCACATTTTTTCGATTCATCCTCGAAACCCTACAGGTTATTAGGACAAAAATTAGATAATTATTTATATTTATGCATGATCGAGAACTGTCACTACGGATTTTATTTTAATCCCTTTAGTTTTAGAGTTATTCCGCTAAAACGAATTTGGTACTTTTAATGCGCAAAATTCGACATCTCCTGTCGCATGTCACGCTAACTTCAGGCTTGTCTCACAAATGTGGGCGGAGCCAAAGTCAAAACTTTTTTGGCATGCTCCCTCTTAAGACCTACTTACAACGATATCATGTACTAGCGTACTAGATGCGGCGTTGCATTCACACGCTGTGGTTCACGATGTATGTTGAAGATACAACACTTCAATATCAAAGATTTATAAAGCAATAGAGTGTTCTGACTACACGACAGCAGAGTAGGCATAATTGATTACACACTTGTTTATTATTAATTTTTTTTTAATTGTAACTGTGTTCTTTGTTTTGGCTCTTAAAATCTCTATTTGCCTTGTTAAGCACTTTAAATTGAAATAGTTTCATGTTGGAGGAAATTCGTAAGTATGCCACTTACGAATTTCCTCCAAAGGCTTACTCATATTTAAGTATATTATAATTGTATTATTTGTCCGTGAATTTTCCTAAAATGTAAAAATAAATATTAAATATACCATAAGTTACCATTTATAAAATATGTAAAAAACTAGGCTGCGTGGTCTAATAATTTTTGCCATTCCGCAAGGAAAAGTATATAACATCTATAATTTCAACAACTCGACTGTATTTTTTTCTATTACCTATTTTTTTCTTTTTAGTAATATAGTAGTTATAAAAAGTAATCAGAAGGCCCCTGGGTCAAAGCAAAATGATATATATTGTGCAACTAACAGCGACTTTGTCAGGGGTTTTTGGTTTTCCCCTCTCTCTCATCTGAGCGTTGTCCCGGTTGCGTCCTCAGCAGTGTTGCTGCGGAGCCCGGGGTCCGCTTTTTCGGTAATTCCCCAACAATGGATGAATATCATTGGTAAACACTTAATATTCTATATCTGCATGCCAAGTTTATTCTAGATATAGACTGTCAAGTCTGTCCACGGTTCTACGGAACAAATACTCTATGATAAAAATTCAACAGTAAAACAAAATACTATCATTATTGATTGTGTTTTGTTTGGAACATGTAGTTGCTGTGAATGTTCTTGTCTGTGGATTATAGTCGTTGCCTAAATATGTAATGATTGCATACATTGACTTACAAATAAATGGACGACTGGTCTAATACAAAAACCACGAAAAAAATGTTCCAAGTCAACCTATTTAAACGTAGTGACATGTAAAGGAATATGAAAAAGCTAAAAGGTTGAATTTAAATTGTAATGTCATCGCAGTACTGTCTAATTTTGCTTGCTTCGCTGTCAGTCGAACAAACGAAGACTAAAGCGTGATCATTCACGCTTTAGTATTTAGTATCTGTATAAGATTTTAACGCCCTATAAGTTCGGACACTTTTTAGCGCGGACCCGACGACGTCCGTATAATTGTAAGTCAATGATTGCATATAATACTTTTTCTACAAGTAAATTAAAATAAAGAAACACGAAAGACAAAAGAGATAGAATTTACTTCCGTGCTAGTGATTGATGAGGTATTGATATTTTAATTAGCAAAAATACATTGACTTACAATTATGTGGACGTCGGGTCCGCGCTAAAAAGTGTCCGCACTTGTAAGGCGCTAAAATCGTATACAGAGGGTCAAACTCCGCTTTAGTCAACTTTGTTCGACTGACAGCGCGATACTGCGATGACATTACAATTTAAATTTCGAATAGGTTGACTTGGGACATTTTTTTCGTGGTTTTTGTATTAGACCCGTCGTCCATTTATTTGTAAGTCAATGCAAAAATACGTTCTTTTTTGAAATTTTTCAATTCAGCAGCGAGTACCATAGACAATAGAATTTTGGTTCAGAACCAAAAAGAGCGCCTTTGTGACGTGGTTTGTGAAATTACATTTGAAAGATTAAAAGTACAGGAGTAGAAAAAAAATTAAGTAGCAGTAGAACTGCTTGTGAAAGAGCTCGTCCAGGGAAATACTACCTTACCATAGTATCACATATTATAAATTGAGCCAACCTGGGGGCCTAGCATAACCTTTCCAAAAACAATCTTATTTCAATGTAAGCTTATTATAATATTACTCATATTCGTACCATGACAAACCTGTCAACCAAGTAATGTATTATTGCTAAAAATGTATTATTGCATAAAATAATAAATAATAATATATAAATGTATTATTGCTAAAAAATGTATATCGTACACTATACGTGTTCTATGTAGTTTAGTTAAAATTAAAAAAAATCATTGGTAAAAAAAAATGTGTAAAGTACGCATTGAATACTGCGGTTTTCTTGTAAAATCTCGAGGTAAGTTTGTGTTTGTTTCTATCGTGAAAATTTTTGAGAATCATGTTTTCATATCAGTGTACATCCTTAGTTTTATTACATATTTTTTCCAAAATGATCGATTCAATACTTTCATTATAATGCGGAATCAACCAAAGCCATTATGAGGTCTTAATCATAAGAACGTGAAGCTTCAAATTCACTTCCATTTGAAAACACTTTTTTATGAACTGCCTCTAAAAGTTATATTTTGTATTTACAAAATGCAAGTTCTGACGAAAAAGTGCCAGAAAAGCGGAGGAAGTATAAAAACGAAATAGTAAACAAATTCAATTAGTGAATGGACTTTCGTTTGATGGCATTCATTCGCTTTGATCTGTTGCTGGAATGTGTTAAGATAGATTGATACTAGGTACCTATAATTACTCGTTTAAATCACTCCACCTACTGGTCATTTCGCGTAGGTAGTTTTCCCAGTATATTCTGTTGTTGGATGAACTCTCTAGGTCAAATACAATGTCATGAAAATTTCATGGAATTATTTCTTCATGTTTATCTCCTTCAGGCGAGGTACTGTAACGCGATCATACATTATAGGAGGTGGGTCGCCTCTCGCGTCCCGCAATCCTCACGCTGAAAATCAATCAATAAATACAATAAGAACTGAAGGTCTACTCTCTTTCTTGAAAACGAAACTTCGTTAACGAACGGATCCGTTATCCATCCTCGGAAGTGGATATATTCTGTACGGTACGCGTCTGCTGGCTAGAACCGAGCGTTTAGTGCAGAACTCGTGCGCAAGATTTTGTTTTGATATTACGGGATATGGTAGCCTCAAAATGTCTCTCCGCCGAGAGCAACATTTGGCTTGCCTCTTATTCGGTGTGGTTAAGACAGGTCAACCGGAGTACCTTGCCGAAAAGTTATCTTGGCGTGATCATGGGAGATGTGGTCCTCGTTCAACGGGTTGGGTGTTACAAATCCCTCCGCGCGGCACTTCTGCTTTCCGTGGGAATTTCAGACATGCGGCCTCGAAGTGCTGGAACATCTTACCGCCGCCTATGAGGGAACTAAAATCGGTCTACTCTTTTAAAATTAAAAAACTATTAATATCATACCAGGCCGATTTGCTCGCCGGCGGCCGTGTTGTTCCTGCATTTTCTAGGCAAAAGACTCGCTGGCGGAGTATAATCCTATAATCACATTATATTTGGGTTTTAGTATGTAGGAATTTTAATATTATCATTATTTGTCATACCTTGCTATATTATTGCATTGCATTATTTTGCGTTTAGCTCTACGGGCTCACTGAAAACCAGCGCTGTGGTATGTTACTGCAGCACATGCTGAGTTAAGTCCCGTGTTGGTATGACACTGCAACACAGACCATACCGGACTATCTACTATGTTTACTTTAATTTTAATTGTAATTATATGTCAAATAATTATTTGTATGTAAACTGTTTTTTGTGTGGTTTTGTGTGGTTGTGTTATGCCTGTAGAAGTATGTCTATGACTAATTTAAACGAAATTTCGTCAACAACTTTAATTCCTTTTCGGTCGGGCGCAATAATTTCGTTGTCATTTACAATTTTCCTGAACGAATGGAATGATTGATATTGTGTAGGTCTTTTTGATGTCAAGTACGGTAAAAAAAATTACACAGATCCGACGTCAACAAGCGCGCGATGGCGACTGATGGGGCATGAGCGGCACGGCGTGTCGTGGCATTAATGTGAATTTAATAACTATAAATCTTCAGTTGAAACAAAAATTTAGTCAATCAATTATATTGGTTTAAAAAGAATTATTATAAAACAGTTTTATAATTTAGGTTAATATCAATGTTATTAGTATAATTATAAAAATACATTAACTTAGTGGATTAAAGTTGTCTAATATTGCATTTTTTTATTATACCATATATTTTGAAAGGGAACGCGCGGGGTCAAGATCAAAAGTCATGTGGAATAACTATTGACTTAGTAATAATACCTAATAAGTTTTTGCTCTACAGCTTTTAACAGTGATGAGATATTTCAAAAAAAATTTCGTTTTCATACTTTTAAAATGTTTAGTACCACTTTATATATATATTAGATCGGTGGAATAGGTTTAAAATGATTAAATTGTTCGGTTTTATGCATTGACTTACAATTATATGGACGTCGGGTCCGCGCTAAAAAGTGTCCGAACTTATAAGGCGTTAAAATCGTATACAGAGCGTCAAACTCCGCTTTAGTCTTCATTTGTTCGACTGACAGCGCGATACTGCGATGACATTATAATTTAAATTTTGAATAGGTTGACTTGGGACATTTTTTTCGTGGTTTTTGTATTAGACCCGTCGTCCATTTATTTGTAAGTCAATGGTTTTATGTCAATGTCAATAATATTTGACAGTTTGCAGAAGGAATAACAACACTTCATTTTTTTTTAATCCTCTGTGCGACAACGCCAGTATGGCATCATTCTTATTCGATGTTAATGCACCCTTTCGAATACTCCTATAATTAAATTGGAAATATTCTTCATAAATTCTGAAAACTTCCGTTTTGTTACTTTCTAGGTTCCTCAAGAACAGTTGACTGTCAAACACATACTTGCGTCGGTGAGTTCAACGAAGGCGTTCAGTGGCTCACGAAGGCCACTGAGGGCTGTGTCACCACCGTGAGGACCAGCTACATGTCATACCCCATCCTAGTCATGCCCACGCCTGGAACTATTTTACCCTCTGTGAGTTCTTTTGTTGATTCTGTTTATAATAAAGAGTAAATAGCATTAAACTAATTTTGTTTAAGACTGTACGTTCAATCGGCGTACAGTTCCGACGGCAAACAATTCATCGGTGTGGCGTCTTGCTTATTCTTCCACCACGGCTGTAGGATAAAACCGGGATAGGTGCCTCGTTTTCAAAATACCTAACTTCCCCAAATCGCAACATAGAATAATTAGTTTAAATAAGGAGTTTAGACACCACTTATCAAAGTTCCTGCAGGGCTTCGTGTGGAATAGACACGTGTTGAGTTTGTGCATGCGTTTACCTCCGATACGAACACGACAAACGGTTCAAAATTTTAGACACAAGTATTTGCTATCGCATTACGTTGTAAGTTATAATAAACTCCGTTTTATTTTTTTTATAACTGTACACTGGTTCATTAATTGCGCACCTAGGTGTCAATAATCGCTTTTTTGTATATAGCTTAGTTAAATAACAAAAGGGCATCTATCCATATCGAATAGGATAGTCCCCTCGATTTTTGGCGATATAGGGTAGGGGCAAAGGACAAGACAATAAAATTAGAAAAAGAAAAAAAATGCATTATTTTAGTGAAAAAGTCAAGTATATGATAATAGTTTATAAGTAAGTAAAAGTACCTAAACGACAAATTATTCATAGTTTAAATAGCGAACATTTTTGTATAAAATGTTTCGATAGCTACAAAAATAGGAAGTGAAGTAGGTAGTAACTTTTCAGACGTATATATTTGTTATTAAACATGTAATATGTATATGCAATATATCAAAGATTACAAATAAAACATTTTATTATGAATTTTACTAATTTTATTCTAAATAGCATCTATCCTTCTTAGTATTTTCATCGTGTGGCGTCTATCCATATAGGTAGGCATCTATCCTCAAAAAATTGGTTTGCAAAAAGTAAATTTCTTCAAAATCAGTAAATGTTAGATCAATAAAATCAAGTATTAATGTAATATGAAAGATTAAACTAGTTAATCCTATGGATACATAGGAATTATTAATGGAAAAGTAATAATTTTTAAATTAGGAGGCCCTTTCAAAAATCTAACCCGGTTTGTAATGGAAAGTGACAATGAGGCCGACGATGCACGCCTTTATAATGCCTATTCACTCGCCTTGAAAAGGCCCAAATTATAGCGTTCAGGGAGAATGTTTCTAATTGGACGTAATTACGCAAAAATAATCCAATCTACAAAATTAACAAAAAATGTGTTATATGTACCAAACGGATCATAAACTCCAACCTCTTGGATCAACAAAAATCCAACATATAAACATAAATAAATATCACTGGAGTGACATGACAGTATGAGTTTTGAAAGTAATACAAGAGTGAGAAACACTTTTAAACTTTAAACTGCCATATCTCGAAAGTGACTGGATTGGGTCCTTTTTGTGTAACTGTGTCCAATTTAACATTATTATAATTATATGGATTTGTTATTATTACAAGGCTGCAGACAATGGAATACCGCTCCATAGCTTTTCGCCATATAAATGAGGATGCGAAACGCTTGTGAGTGTATTCTATAGTCCATTTGTTTAGGTACTTCACTAAATGTAAACAATCGTAATACATCTTTTTATTGAAACGTGTACTTTCCACATATATAGGTATAAAAATAGGCATGCAATTTCATATGAAGCTAAGTATTGTATTTTGTACTTGAAAGTAAGTAAAAATCATTTTATAAATGTATATTTAATTAAATAGACATCTCAAGATTGTTTACATTTAGTAAAGTACCTAAACAAATGGACTATAGTGAGTTTACAACTTATTGAAATGCGTAAAAACATTACTAACTCATCTCTCATATTCTCTTCTTTTATTAAAAACCGCTTTGTCAAGCTTCTAACTATTAGCTTCAATTAACAGACTCGCAACGACACTGACTACCAGGATTCCACCACGATGTCCACAAGCCCAACGTCATTCACCACCATATGTGACAACCAGTTTTGTGAATATGACTGGTCTGATAGCGATGAAGATGATAACGCCACAACAGACTACGTAATACCAGACAGCACAAGTGAGATGGTGTCTACAGTCACTATGCCTCCACCTACTACTGAGGGGATAGCCACTGCAATACCTACATTTAACCCATTACCGGTAAGTTCCATCTACATAGTATAATAAGATAGGAATATTAATAGTTATAGGCTGTTAGATTTTTAACGCGCATTTTCGTCTATAGTAGCAAAGTTCAAGTTAAACTGGTGATTTGAAGTGAAACAATTGACGATACCCGTCAATTGTTTCGAATTCGGGCTGGCCAATCGGAGCGCAGTTGTCACCGTAATGATATGGCGGAATAGTTTTCAAATAAATTAAGAGGGAGCAGAGGAAAAATTCCTAATCTTCGATTGGATTTTAGAGGGGTATATCCACTTTAAAGTTAAAAATAAAATATTGTATGAGTAACTACACGAGATATTCAAGCATAGACACTAATCAGAAACACAAAACAATAAAGTTTCCTCGATAGATAAAAATCACGAAATGACCTCTAATTTTCACATTTTTTCGATTCATCCTCGAATGCTACAGGTTATTAGGACAAAAATTAGATAATTAATTATATTTATGCATGATCGAGAACTGTCACTACGGATTGTTTTTAATCCCTTTAGTTTTAGAATTATTCCGCTAAAACGAATTTGGTACTTTTAATGCGCAAAATTCAACATCTCCTGTCGCATGTCACGTGATATTCAGGCATATATTTGTCTCACAAATGTGGGCGGAGCCAACATCAAAACTTTTTTGGCATGCTCCCTCTTAAATGAAATTTATCTCTATTTCTGGTTACATACTCGTTGCCGCATATTTATCGTAAGCGACATTTTTACCTAAACAGCGTTTTTTATTGCTAATGATATTACAAACTTATAACGGGCCGCGTCCTTGCCCGCGACATTTCCCGCCAAAATGGCATCAAACAGAAATTATAGTAAAGGTTAAGTTTACCGTTAGCTCCGCAAATGTTTTTTATATTTTACTGTAATCGACACTATTCATACACCACTATTTCGTCGTTTACTATAAACAAAGTGACAAAAAACGTGTTGCACCTTGTTGCATATTTTTAATCGCAAGTGTAACTTAAAAGTGGGAGTATGTGAGAGGTATGCTCTAACTCATACCTTGTGTTGTTTAGGGCCGTCAATGACAGTCCTGATTACGTCCCACCCATTACACTAAATGACGTAGAGCTTAAAGGGGTTTCCCAATTTAAATATCATGGCCACTTTGTAACCGACGACCTTAAGGACCAAACAGACATCGAAAGAGAGCGGGCGCTGGCGGTCATATGTAACATGCTGGCTCGGCGGTTTGAGCAGGCTGAAATCACGCCTTTCAAGGTCTATTGCCAAGTACACTACCCGTGCAATTTACGGTCCAACTTTATGCAGAAGGCCATTAGCACCTTTCGCGTTCAATATAATAATGGCTTCAGGATGGTGATGAGGCTGCCTCGCCAGTGGCGAATTTGAATTACCTAAATATTCTAAAGACTCACGCACATTATTATAACTGTCTCTGTGGCCGAACGGTTACCATGCCGGACTGCCACGCAAAGGTCTCAGGTTTGATTCCCGGGCCGGGAGAAATATTTGTATGGCCTACATTGATTTCTCTCGTGAGTTTGGGCGTAATTTGTGGTACTCTGTCGCACTGCACCGCATCGTATAACAATATTCTTCCTAAATCACTTTCGTACATTTTATGTGTAAAATATAGATATGTTACATATCTATAATGTAATGTATAATCACTACATCACTACGTCTGTCTGTTTGTCTGATTGCGATACACTGAAAAACAACTGAACGGATAGTGTATCGGGAATGTTTGCGCAGGCGCGTACCGATGACTATTACGCCGTCATGCGCAAAAAGACGGCCTCGCTGCTGGAGACTGCGGGCCAGCGCCAACTCCGTCTTGATGACCGTGGTGGGGAGATATGATTCCCCCGTTATGCGCCATTTCCTTCAGCAGCTTGATTTTGATTGCCTCTCCCGATTGAACGGCATCTCTTCCGAGTCGAGGCGCATAATTGCGATTCACAACCGGCGGATCGGAAACTTTTGACATTTATAATCGGGACAATAGTTAATTTAACTCACAAATTAGAAGGCTATAGTAAGAATCAGGTTCATCTTCTCGCTCGGAAACCCATGTCATTTCGAGACTACCCGATCGGATCGATTCCATTTTGAATCAAAATCAGGAGGCAGTTGCTTGTTAGCAAAATGTGTTTGTAAGAAAAAGGACTTGCTGACAAACACCATTAAATATTAGTATTTAGTATTAATTCTCTTAATGTTTATTCTTTTTACTAACATAACTACTAAGATAACTGTTACTAACCAATTTATGGAACCCGTTGTCCGAATTAAAGATAAAAAAATTAACGCCTCAAAAATCTTCAAATAGAGATAGCAAAAATGTTGTAAACGGCAAAAAGGCTTAACATCTATTATTAAAAAAAAAATTAGCTATTACACAATGGGTTATTTATATGTAGAAATATTTAAAAGACCCTCTCCTGTAAAATTTGTTTTTAGTCCCTTACACTAAATCGCAGGTCTGGATACAGTCCTACGAGGTTGTTTGTATTTTAATTATCCTGTATAATATGTTTGCATGGCAAACACTCTCGCGACTGAGCTATTATTATATCATTACATAATACTACTTGCCCAACGTCTTGCTTTGAGCGGGACAGTCCCGTTGTTAATCTTCGTGTCTCGCAACCTCTAAAATACTCAAAAAGGTCCCGAAAAGATGCCTTCAGGATGCTGTTGGGGCTGCCACGGCACTGCAGTGCACGGAATATTTGCTGAAGCGCGAACAGATAACTTTTATGCCATTAGTCGAAAAAAGGTGACGTCTCTGCTAAAGTGAGTGCGTGACTGTGGCATAGGCATCCTGAAGATGTTTGTCCATCGTCTTGACTGTACAATTTTAAAGTTTTGGATTAAGATAATAAATTATAAGATAAGAAATTAAGTAATAATGTAGGTATTTTCTTCATTTTAATATTTTAATTTTTGTAGTCCAATAATTTAAATTTTTTAATCAAATTTTCAATATTCATTGTAATCATACTAACATAGCTTTAAGATTGTCTTTTGTAATTAACACCATTATCTTATGGGTTATGGTCTGAAATAAATGGTTTCAAATTATTATTTACAATTAAAACAGGACACACGTGAAATTTTTTTTAATTGCGAACAAAGCGAAAGCAGAATTTTTGATAATTAAACATTTTTAGTTCTCTTTTTAAATCATTAAATATAGCGTAACTATCATAAACGGGTGTTTTATTTTTAAAACAATAAATTATAAGAGAAAAAATAATAATCACATTATACTGCCTAAACTGGTACCTAACATTGAAATATCAATGTTACTAGTAGGCAAGGCAAGCCAACTAGAACGTGCTTTTAGCGATTTTGTTTCAACTGGATGTTAAAGTAGAATTATTTTGAATGCGCTTTCATATATACTGTTTGATTAATTATTAAAATAATAAAATATCATTATAGAATATAATTATTGCAACCATAGTATAGGGATGTAAGGGGGCACACACCATCACAGCTCTTATTGTCAACCTCACCTGCGCGCGGTACATCCTGCAGTAACCGACGAGGCTCTGGCGACCGGTAGTAGGCGGTATAGCCCTTCCCCACATTGGCGCTGTCAAATCTGCTGGCTACCGACGGGCAGCAGCGTCGGTAGTACAAAGGCAGCGCCCTGCGATCTCCAACCCGCATGCCCAGCGTGGAGATTATGGGCAATAACCCCCTTCATGGACGGCACAACCAATCGAAGGCCCCCAGTTCCCGGTCGCCCCGCTATTCCTGGTCACGGTAGCGGCCATGGTACCGGCGGGGTAGGGGGTGCTAAGAATCCCCGGGCTACCGCAGGCTACCAAAAACAACTGACCCTGGCTACGTTTAACGGACGAACTCTTAGGCTTGACGAACACCTTGCACAGTTGGAAGTGGAACTGGAGAACATTAGATGGCATGTTCTGGGGCTGTGTGAAGTCCGAAGAGAGGGAGAGGACACCATAACCCTAGACTCGGGCCATCTACTGTACTTCCGCGAGGGTGATCAAACATCCCAAGGTGGTATAGGATTCCTCGTCAACAGAGTCCTCTCTAACAACGTTGAAGAGATCTCCAGTGTGTCGAACAGGGTAGCGTACCTGATCCTTCGGCTATCAAAAAGGTATAGCCTGAAGATCATTCAGGCCTACGCACCGACCTCGACACATTCGGATGACGATGTAGAAGATATGTACGAGGACATATCGAAAGCCTTACACAACACCACCAAGGCTCACTTCAACGTTGTTATGGGGGACTTTAACGCTAAAGTGGGATTCCCAAATCTTGACGAGTCTCGAGTCGGCCCGCATGGTTATGGAGTAAGGAATCACAGGGGGCAAACGCTAGTCAACTTCCTTGAGCACGAGGAGCTCTTCTTGATGAATTCGTTCTTCAAGAAGAAGCCTCAAAGGAAGTGGACTTGGCGAAGCCCCGACGCTGTGACTAAAAATGAGATCGATTTCATCCTGACGGACAAGAGACACATATTCAGAGATGTCTCAGTGATCAACAGGTTTAGCACCGGATCTGATCACCGACTTGTACGAGGCTCTCTGAATATCGATGTCAATCTTGAAAGAAGCCGCTTGATGAAGTCCACGCTCCGTCCTAATCCACTCCAGATCATGGCGGGCTCCGAGAAGTTCCATGAACTTCTCGAAGCGAGATTCGTCGAGCTGGAACCCACCGAGGACGTTGACGAGGCCCTACAAAGCGTGGTTGGGACGCTGAGGAGCGAGGGCATCAAATTCTGTCAATTGCAGCGTACGGGAAAGAAGTCTAAACTCTCGGATGAGACTCTGCGACTTATGACGAAAAGACGCGATGACATCCAGGCCACTTCGTCAGAGAGGTCATACCTAAACAAGCAGATTGCGAAGATGGTACGGCGTGACCTTCGGAGCTCCAATACACGCCTCATTGAGGAGGCGATAGAGCGAAACCGAGGGTCCAAAGTATTCTCTCAGCAGCTTGGAAGGAGCCACCTGACGAAGCTTACAACGCACGATGGCCTAACCGTTACGTCAAAGCCGCAGATACTCGCCGAGATAGAGGACTTCTATGGCCGTTTGTACGCTGTAAATGCTCCTCGGGTCCAGCGTGACAATCACGATTTGAGAGCCACCTTGACGCGCCACTGTACCGACGACCTGCCAGAAATCAGTCAAGACGAGATCGTGTTGGCTCTAAAACAGCTTAAAAATGGAAAAGCCCCCGGTGAAGACGGAGTTACTTCGGAGCTTTTGAAGTCTGGAGGAGTTCCTATTATCCAGGAACTTCAGAAGCTCTTTAACTTGGTCATTCACTGCGGGAGAACTCCACGGGCGTGGAACAGGAGTATTGTAGTTCTCTTCTTTAAAAAGGGAGATAAAACTCTACTGAAAAACTACCGACCCATCTCACTCCTGAGTCACGTCTACAAGCTGTTTTCTAGAGTCATCACGAATCGCCTCGCAAGAAGATTCGACGAGTTTCAGCCACCGGAACAGGCCGGGTTTCGGGGAGGATATGGCACCATAGACCACATACACACAGTGAGGCAGATTATACAGAAGTCCGAAGAGTATAATCGGCCCCTGTGTTTAGCTTTCGTGGACTATGAGAAGGCCTTTGACTCTGTCGAAACCTGGGCTGTCCTGGGATCCTTACAGCGGTGCCAAGTGGACTATCGTTATATACAAGTGTTGAGATGTCTTTACGATGCTGCTACCATGAGTGTCCAAGTACAGGACCAGCAGTCTGAACCTATTCAATTACGCAGAGGGGTGAGACAGGGGGATGTCATATCCCCGAAACTGTTCACCGCTGCATTGGAGGATATGTTTAAGACGCTGGACTGGAAAAGGATGGGCATTAACATAAACGGCGAGTACATCTCACACTTGCGATTTGCAGATGACATAGTCCTAATGGCAGAATCGCTGGAGGAACTGGATCAGATGCTGAACAGCCTAGCATCCGCCTCGCGGCGGATTGGTCTCGGCATGAACTTTGATAAAACCAAAGTCATGATCAATGACCACATTGATCCGAGACCCATCTGCGTCAATGGCCACCTTCTTGAAGTTGTTTCCGAATACACTTACCTCGGGCAGATTCTGCAGTTAGGTAGAAATAACTTCGAGAAGGAGGCCAGGAGGAGGATTCAGCTTGGCTGGGCAGCGTTTGGGAAGCTACGTCGAGTCTTTTCGTCGCCCATCCCGCAGAGCTTGAAAACAAAGGTTTTCAACCAGTGCGTCCTACCAGTTCTAACGTACGGAGCTGAGTCGTGGACACTCACGATACGGCTAGTCCACCAGTTTAAAGTCGCTCAGCGAGCTATGGAACGAGCTATGCTCGGAGTTTCTCTGAAAGATAAACTCCGTAATGAGGTTATCAGACAGAGAACCAAAGTGATCGACATAGCTCTTCGGATAAGCAAGCTGAAGTGGCAGTGGGCTGGACATATCTGCCGAAGAACCGACAACCGCTGGGGTAAACGAGTTCTTGAGTGGAGACCACGACCTGGCAAACGTAGTGTGGGACGCCCTCCAGCCAGATGGAGTGACGATCTGCGGAAGATTGCTGGCAGGAAATGGATGCGTCAAGCCGAGAACAGGGCGAAATGGCGTGCATTAGGGGAGGCCTATGTCCAGCAGTGGACTGCAATAGGCTGATGATGATGATGATGATGAACCATAGTATACACAATTGTTACAAGTAAATAATAATATCACATGCATTCTGACAGGGTACAGCAAATTGTATTTGAATATAGTTTGTATTATAAGTGACACGTAATATTAATTTCCACTATTGAAATGTGTGTTTGAATTAGGTATTATAAATATAAATATTGGCTATTTATAAATCGAGATCATATTGTTAGAGTTCGCTATCTTGCAAGACTTTTTTAACCGACTTAAAAAAGGAGGAGGTTCTCAATTCGACTGTGTTTTTTTGCATGTATGTTACGCGATAATTCCGGTATTTGTGAACCGATTTTCATGATTCTTTTTTGTTGGAAAGAGGGGAATTACATAGTGGTCCCATTTCATTTTGAAGAAAATCATCCACCTCTAAGGGTGGCTGTTCACGCATGAAGATCCATTTTTATAAATGGCGCCTAAATTTTACTTAAGGAGCAATTATTTTAATGGTTGATTTGCTATTTCTCCAATTCAAGGCGTTTTTCTCTCAATATACTTTGAGTAGTGAGAACCGATTTTTATTATCTCCAGTGTCAAGTCCTGTATAGTGGTGAATTTAAGGATATTAATAAAACTTAGCAACTAGACGTAATGCTACCTTCTTTTGAGATCGGTTTTTTAGTACTCTGTACTGAGATTATGATTGGTAACGCCAGGTATAGTTTCTCTGAGCTCGCACCTCCTTACCTTTCCCGTCCTAATCCGTGCTACGCCATAGCCACACAAATTGCCAGTGAAATTAAAAAATAAGTGTGTGACGTTACATTCGAACTGAAAAATCCGCATCCGCGACATCGCATCATTTATTAAAATTAAATATCCCGCTTCTCCGCCCGGCATTGAGCCGCGTACGCAATATATTACATGGTGGCGTTATTGGTGATCGGCCGCACGTGAAGAGTGAAAGAAGACGAGCTCTACGACATTTCGGACATTAAGGTTGGTGGTAGCACGGCTTCCATTCCTTTCACTTGCGAGCTCATCTATCCCGCAGCTCCCCACGAGCTATCGAAGTTTCTTTTAATTTTTTTATTATAGCGTCACCAATGATGTTCAGAATCGTCTCATCGTAGCATAATGTTATTTACAAAAAATGTCTTTAGTTTGGAAGTGAATGAATAGTTTTATTTTTTCAGTATATTTTCTATATTGTTATGCATTTTGTGGTAAATTTGAATGAATTTATAAAAATAATAAACTAGAATAATTTCTACGTCAATCTAGTTTTTAGCTTTGAATAATAAAAGTTGGTTATAAATTACAAAATTTAAGTCGTTCTCGGTTTTGGCACTTACAACTGATTTGTAAATGTTATTCCAGCCGGATGAACAGCTGCAGCAGGTAATAAACGACCTGGAATCATTGATAAACAACACTGATCCCGTGATGGTCGACGATATCGATCCTGCGCTTGACCAGGTACCGAAATTTTGTTCAAACCACCAAACGATTTGATACTGTAGTATACTAATTTTCATAGTTTCAATGGTTCACCCACGGTTCAACATACAAATTTTCATCCCCTTAATTTTCACTCCTTTTAAGATGTATTTTGTCTTGCAAACGCAACAGACAGAGTTACTTTCATATTTATAATATTAGTTTGGATTTACCCACTTTAATGTTTTAGGTGGACACACTTCTGGACACGAATGAAAACCTGGATATTCCGGGACGTTTGCTAATTCTTCTGGACACATTAGGGACCACGCTTAACTTGAACGGTTCACGGCAGGTAATAAAAAACGAAACTATAAATCTCGATATTTGGGGACCGTAAAGCTCTACTTCGTAATGAAATATTTTTTTATGAAAACGAGGCCGGGTGTTCCCATGCAAGAAATATCAAAGAACATATGGCTTATTTACAGAACGAAGAGTTGTGTACAGACAACTTTTAAGATTTTATAATTTATACAACTCTATGCGTAATAATTACGGTACGTACGTAGAGTACGACGACCTGCGAAAGGTTGCTGGCGGGAAATGGATGCGACAAGCTGAGGACCGGGCGAAATGGCGCACATTGGGAGAGGCCTATGTCCAGCAGTGGACTGTGATAGGTTGATGATGATGCGTAATGGTTAAATCATGGAAGTGAATAAAGTTTTTATTTATCTAAATCCAAGCGATTACTGAAACGCCTTCCTTTTTTCTTTTTTTGTAAATATATGAGTAGTAGAAAATATCTACTATATGAAAGTACCATTGTTTTTTAATAGAATGTAACTTTCTAAAACAAATATTTAACTTATTTCTAGGCATCAACGGTCAGGAATAACATAGCGATGCTGCTGGCTGACTCTGACACCGAACAGCCTGTGAGGGGCTTGAGGCTTGCAGCCATGACCGATGGTGAAGTTTTCAGTCCAGACGGGTTTGAGATGATATCAGGTACGTGCAGTTTAACACCGGAATCTGGAAACATGATTTGGCATTGATGTGATGAAAGTAGAATTTACGTAAATCGTAGAGTATGACCAAATGGAAACTATTCTATTTGTGGCCAATTAAATTGGTAAACGAAGTTTGGCCGCCAGGTACGGAAACATAAAATGTTTACTTGATTGCAATTAGCTAATAAGAAACTTCAAAAAGACATTTACTGATGACAATACCATCTCTTCAGGCGATCACTACCTATTGGAAGATAATGGCAATGGATATCAAAGCCTATGTAGAATAGCGGCATTTCCAACACCGGAAATTGGTTAACAAACTCTTAGGCATATCTGGCTTGCAATGTAATGAAAAAAAAAACCGGTGTCACATTAATATTTTTTAAATGCAATAAACCTATGATCGAAAATCAGCAAAATGATCTACTTGGAAATATATCAATTCACAGAACCAGTGAACTCGACACACCTAATGTCGAACAATAGCGAGGCCGTGGTCCACCTTCCGGAGTCTTTGGCGACCGAGCAACACCGCATCAGCTTCATTATCTTCAGAAATAACCGGGCGTTCCGGGATACTCCCGCAGTTTCTGTCAACAGCCGAATTCTGAGCATCAAAGTGAATAATATTACGGAGTTCGATCATGGAGAAGTAAGTATTATGAATATAATACTTCCAGGAGATCACTAACACACTTACTAGTTGAACCTAATCTATTCAGGTATTTTTTTCTATAAGAATGTATTTACAGTTAATTCAAAAAATATGATTCAACAGCAGATTTGGTGGCATTTGTGGGCACCCAGAATGTGCCAAAAAAAACACGTCTGTCTGTGCGCTTTATGAGAATCGTAAGTCTTAGAGATAAAAAAAAAAGAACAGTCTAATAAGACGGGTTGTAGAATAAACGATGATGCAATGAGTTGGACAGAAAATGCATCGATAGTTCATTTGGATACCTATTAGTAAAATAACGTCACAAATTTAAAGAGCGAACGTGGAAGGGAACATAGGAATAGGCGTGAAAGCGTGGTAACCCTAACTAGCCGTGAACCTGGTTCACGGCAATGAAATGGGAAACTTCCGGTCCACAAAACTTATTAAAGAAGTAAAGATTAAAGAAAGGACTGTAACAATAAAAAGGTAAATGTAAAAAACAGGTATAACAGTATAAAACACTCCCTATACTTATTATTAAGGCACTTACCCCTAAATGGGCCGAGAAACTGAATTATAGAAATAGATACATGAAGGGTGTAGACTTATAAATTATTACACATGATTAGCTTATTAACAGCTCTGACTGGGAGTGGCCGTGGTACGAAAACAAAATGAGAAAGTGAAGGAAGATGGAACAATTCAAATTTAAAATTTAAATACAAGTAAAATTAAAAAAATGATAAGATACAAAAGGAGAGAGGCGATACCAAGAGGTGAGATGACCGGTGTAAGGAGGTCACACCGTCACAGGTGGACTTGAGATTGAAAAAGTTCCAGGAATAAAAAAAAATGTTTGTATTTTTACAGCACAATTGCCATACTTTGCAGCTTAAGGTCAAAACCCAGTCCCGGCCGTGGACTTGTTTTAATACAATAGATTATGCATAAATATGTCCAAAGTACTCCACAAGTTTCTACTTTCTATTTATTCATCACAGCACTCTCTCAAATTTGCACTGACTGTGAATATGGGTTGGCCACGTAGTCTGGCTGATGATGTTACGAATTTGTGTAATAAGTAAATATACACACAAAACACAACATTTTTCTTTGCCGTAAACACCAGGAAAGCTGAAGCATAGCGCTTAGAATGAATGGCATGTAATTCAATTTAAATTTAACTGCCTCATTAGTTGAACGGTTACCATGCAGAGTTGTATGGCCTACATTTATCTCTCGTGAGTTTCGGTGTAATTTGTGGTTGTCTATGCGTGTGGCCATGGCACCCGCGACACAGGGTGTCCCTAGTGCGGAGCTATGTTGAGTGTGTGTGTTAGTATTATCAAATCTGTAGCGTTAAAGTTGAGCAAGCTGTTTCTATGTACATACTAATATCATATATACGAATACAAAAATATAATCTCAGTACAGAGTACTAAAAAAACCGACCTCAAAAGTACGTGAAATTACGTCTATTTGCTAAGTTTTATTGAAATATCCCCTAGTTCGCTTGACTTGCTTGACACTGGAGATAATAAAAATAGGTTCTCACTACGACCCTACTCAAAGTATATTGAGAGAAAAACGCCTTGAATGGGAGTAATAGCAAAATCAACCATTAAAGTAATTGCTCCTAAATTAATTAAAAAAATGAATCTTCATGCGTGAACAGCCACCCTTCGAGGTGGATGATTTTCTTCAAAATGAAATGGGACCACTTTGGAAGTACCCCCTTACCAACAAAAAAAGAATTATGGAAATCGGTTCACAAATACCGGAGTTATCGCGTAACATACATACAAAAAAAAAACATACAGTCGAATTGAGAACCTCCTCATTTTTTGAAGTCGGTTAATAAAACATGTTATTAATGAGAGTACCAGCATTGATCGTGTGCAATTAGTATTTAGATAGAAACTACAGTAATGTTTGGGAAAAATCATGTAATCTTTTTGTTTGAAAAGACAATCATGAAAATCTGTTTGTACACGAAGCTGCCAAATGTTTATGTACAAAAATCAATCAAACTCGGTTATGCTATAAAAATACAGAAGATCACTCTGACATACTGTCGTAATACGATTACGAAACGATATTAATTAACACAAACTGTGTAGTATATCTGAACTAATTAAACTCTCTTGTTACCTTTCAGGTAATAGACATCCATCTCAGTCCATTGCAAGGTGGCATTGAACGCAACCAAAGTCGCGCGTGTGCTTATTGGCACTTCGTCGATAAGGACACGGGATTCTGGTCTCAAGAAGGCTGCACCTTCGTCAGATCTACAGAAGAAGGAATGCTGGACACTTGTAGATGTGACCATCTTACACATTTCGCTCAAATATTAGTTTCAAGAGAGGTTTTCTCACAAAGAAACGAAGATGCGTTAGAAATACTAAGCATAGTAGGATGTTTTCTATCCATTTTTGGATTATTAATGATTGGAATAACTGCTGCTTTGTTCAGACCCTGGAGACGCGATTACAATAACAAAATATGGCTGCAACTAAGCATTGCGATATTTATAATGGTCATATGTTTTCTGGTCGTCGTGTTTGCCAAATTCGACCACTATAACATCCCTTGTATGTTGGTTGGAGTGCTGTTACACTATTCTGTGCTAGCATCCTTCTGTTGGATGTTGGTAGCAGCTGTGTTGTCTTATCGGAGATTGGTTATAGTCTTTACGAGAGACGCCTCTCATAAGCTGCTTAGAGCTTCAGCTTTTTCATGGGGAGTCCCTTGCGTTATAGTTGGAATTCTTCTTTCAGTCGACCCTCACTCTTATGCGGGACGTTTCGATGAGAAGTATCCAAGTGGGACTTTCTGCTATCCTTCTGGGCTCGGCCTTTGGTTGGCCGTGTACGCCCCAGTTGCTCTAATGCTACTTGCTAACTGGACGCTATTTGGTTTAATAGTTCGTTCTGTGTTTGGTTCAAGAAGGATTCAGAGGCATGGTGATTCAAAAGAAGTCCTCAGGTGTGCCTCCGTCAGTTGTCTACTAGTGTTCTTGTTTGGTTTACCTTGGATATTTGGTTTGTTCGGCTATAACATAGTTGGCGCATACCTTTTTACATTGACAGCAACCTTCCAAGGCTTCATATTGTTCCTGTTCTTTGTCTTAGGGAATAAGAAGACGCGAGATTTGTGGTTCAACAAATTGAAGATCAAACAGACTCGAAAGATACCCGTTACGTCTTCGACTTATACGAATAGAAGTACTGGTTATAGGGGCCCACAAGGGACCTCGAGTATTGAAGTTAATTCAACTAAGCCAAAGTCTTTGGCGTCGCCTGACAACTCAAGATTTTCTTGACAAAAATCGCCATGGTCCAAAAATAGGCTGGCGTATTGGCAAATACGTAATTATTTGCATATGTAGAAAGCTCCGTGTCAGTTTTTGAATATTCTTCTTTCTAGTCTGTTGGAATTGTGCCTTAAAAGGGTGCTAATGGAATTACAATTTTCATATCAAATATTATTGCTACTTAGATCGAACAACTATGTGTCAAAAAGTGGTTAACAAAGTAGCCACGTTGAGACGACAGGAGCTGGTTCGAGTTCAGTCAGGTTGAAGAAACTTTTCTTTGTATTTGTTCGATCTTTGCATCAATAATAATAATGAACTAGTGCAGTACTTTCATAAAAAAATAGATGAATATCATAGTAGTAAAAAGATCATAATATTCAATGAAAGTGAATTTTGTAAATAAAAATATGTCCACCATTTCTACTTAACCATATTTATTATTTTTACGAAACGCTTATCTAGTCTCTAAGCAACGTTAATCGAACTTTGAAGTGAGTTTCCCATACATCCTATTTTAGTATTAAAGAGTTACCAAAAACTAGTTAATAATGGAGAAGAAGTTAGGGAAATACTTATGCGAGTAGGCGAATAAGGAAGGCACCACACTTAATAAAGCGGCATTAGTTTAAGCCGGTCAGAAAAAGCTGCAACGCACAAAACGCACGACGTCTTTTTCACTACCACTTCGCTTACTTACGCACCGCACTACCCCTCCCCTCTTCGTCTCCTGGCCCCTTATCCGATGCGCACCCGTTCCGTCGTCTATCATAAAAATATGAAAATGTGGCACGTAATTCTATCTTATATGCAGTACAATGCGTTCCGTCGCAATGCCGACGCAACGCATCTTCTGGCATCGCTCTTCTTGCGTATAAACTTTTTTCTGACCAGCTTTACGCAATCTCGTATTGATGAATTTGGTAACTGCCTTATACTTCTTAAAATGTAATACGCAATTTTATATCACATATTAATGTTAAAGTTGACCGAATTGTGACTTCAAGTATGTAGGTAATAATAGAGAAATGATTTTAATATTGAGATTTTTTATGTTATGCACAAAATTCAGTGTCTGTGTGACTTAGGGCGTGTTCCCATTATGTAAGGTTTTTTATGTTCAACGACTGTCGTGTCTAGGTATTCCCACTGGATTGTGAGGACAATTTATCGGTTTTTAGCAGCCGCCTTGTCGTTTGCACGACATAACCGTTTGACGCGCAGCAGAAGGTGCGGGGGGATGTGAGGGGAGAGTAGGGAGCGGAACATGACGTCAATAGTAGCTGCGATTATCTGTCGTCACGATTGACGTTTTATTTATCGTAGGACGACTGTCGTTCTGGTTCTTCCCATTGTCTTGACAGTCTGTGTCGTCGTAACGTCAAAAAAGTCGTGAACAACTTCATTTAAATATACAAGTCACGACACTTTAAATTGCATGACCGTCTGTCGTCACGACATAATGGGAGCCTGTCCTTACGTGTGTAAATATACTTAATTTCAGTTAAATAAATCCTTGTACAGAACAAAATGTGTGAAGTAATTTATAAGTTCGCTAAATGTAAGAAAATAGGCATTTATTGTAATAATGTTTAGATATTTATTTAATTACAATAAAGTTATTATAATTAATTATTCATTTCCTTGTTTTCCTTTCTTCATTCCCTTGCACTTGCAACACTGTTGCATTGCAGCTGTTAAGGAAAGGCGTGTCTGATGAAATGAAACAACGAAATTAAAAGAATACTATATACTTCTTAATATCATTTGTCTAACGGATTTAATTATTTTCTTGACATGAAAGATCGAATGACGTATAGAACGGGAAGTGATGCTCCAGTATGAATGAATAGTTTTGTGATAATAGAAACTTTGCTCTAATTATTTTCACAGACGACTTGCGTTCAACTTAATCTCCAACAGTGTCGCTTACCATGAGGCACACGACTTGTTCGTTGGCATTATAAAAAAAACAACCTTTACTGCAACCTTTCTGTTCTTCTTGTATGATTTTGTTTGTTGATATGTGTGAGCTGATTTTATGTGTAATAATGGATGTTAGTAGTTTGTACATAGTTGGGAGACATGTAATGGGTCTGTATTTGGCTTGGTTTGTTGTGTCACTATCTTTGGGTTTTAAGTAGGTTGTTTCTTGAGTAAGGAAAGCAGGCATGTCGTGTGGATTTTGAATAAAGCCGTTTAGTGTGTTTGCTATGTGTCTGTGAAAGTATTTGATCCAATAGTTTTGAATTTTATCAGTTCCGGGCGCTTTCCAATTTAATGTTCTTTTTATTGCTTGTGTTACGTCATCTTCGTCAATTGTTATTTCTGGCATAGGTTCAATTTTCTCCATCTCTTGTTCTTCTATTTCAGTCCATGACGAGTGTGTATTGTGTTGTACGGGTTTTGACCATATATTTTCCCAGTATTTTTGGATCTCTTCTATGTCTGGTTGTTGTGTTACTACTATGTTTTCTGAGTTGAGTTTTTGGTAAAATATCTTTTGGTTGTTACTGAACAAAATATTGTCTGACTTTTTTTGGTTACTTTTCTTGTATCGTTTAGCTTTAGCTTATCGTTTAGTTTATCGTTTAGTTTTTAGTTTCTTGTATCGTTTATTCAGTCGTTTAGCTTGTGCCTGTAGTTTTTGCTTATTTTCATCAAGTTCGTCTGTTAATTCTTGTCTGGTTTTGTAAGTAGGGTTTAGTTTTTGTTGTTTTTTCTGTGTAAGGTTTCCGTTTAGATATTGTGTGAGTTGTCCTATTTCTTTCCTTAGCGTTGTGATCTTGTTTTCCATTCGTTTCTCCCATTGTGGTTTCTTCTGTTTATCTGTTTTGTTGTTTTGTGTATGGGAAGCGTGGTCTACTGTTTTTTTAGTTTTTTTTTTGTCGTGTAATGTCGTAACTGTTATTGCGGCACAGTATATAGCAGTGTGAACTTCTTCAAACGTGATTACTTTTGTGTTTTGTAAATGTTTGTCAACTATTTGATTAACAATGTTAACAGTTTTTATTATTATTATTGTTACTCTTATTATTATTATTGTTCTTATTATTGTTATTGAAATTGTTATTGTTGTTGTTGTTGTTGTTGTCGTTGTCGTTGTCGTTGTCGTTGTCGTTGTCGTTGTCGCCGCCGCCGCCGCCGCCGCCGCCTCCGCCGCTGCCGCTGCTGTTGCTGTTGCTGTTGTTGTTGTTGTTGTTGTTGTTGTTGTTGTTGTTGTTATTATTATTAATTAAACATTTAAAAAACGAAAATGTAACTCCCATTAGTGACATGACATTGGCAAAATTCTACAAGAGAAGAAAGAAACTTAAAAATATAATGGAACAATATATGCCACTGAAAAGCAGAATACCAAAACATGGCAATGGCGGCTGAATAAGAGCCTGATGGCTAGCCACTGACAAGGTTCTCTCAAGTTTTAGCAGAATACTAAACGTATGAAATGCTGGTATGGCACTCTATCGACATACAACTGAGATGATTTATAGTTAACAGAT